TTTTTGTTTTTTAACATTTATTTATTTCTTGAGAGAGAGCAACTCCCCAACCAAGTCCACTTCCAGTCCTGGTTGGCTGCACCATGTGCCGGCATGTTCAGATACACAGGGAGGCCTCCAGGCCTGCATCTGATCACCACTGTGCCAGGACGCTGGCCCTCACTGTCCTTCTTTAATCTTGATAAACTGAGGCAAGAAAACAAGCAAGCAGTCGAACCATCCAGCCACACAGATAAATACACAGCTTAAACTTTTAAAATACAGTGTTGTAAACATAATCTGCATTCAGGAGCCAGGGGAGCATTCCTTTATAATAACAACAGCTAATATTTTCTTACTCAGAAGGTGTATACCGAAAATTTATTACTGACTATGTGTGAGGCTACAGTGATGTTTCCTCTTCTTTTTTGGTAATAATTATAGATTCACAGGCAATTTTATTTTATTACTATAGGGTGTGTACACTTACCAGAGAGAGACAGAGAGAGAGGGAAAGTGAGAAATCACTCCCCTGAGAGGATGCCCATGCCACAATCACTTCTCCATTCCCCTCTCAGGATTTTGGGCATGCACACACATGCACCTGGCATGATTTTCAAGCCACTGGGTCCAGGACTCAAACTGCACAATTGGCCATGTGGGACCCAATGCTATAACCACTATACCACTTGCTGGCCCCATGCAACTTTTTGTTTTCTGTTTTCTTTGTTTGTTTTTAATGATAGAGAAAGGGAGAGAGAAAGATAGGTAGACTTTGTTGTTTGTTTTTAAGAGAGACTTTGGCTATAGAGTGTATGTGCTCACTGGACACACTGGACAGAGACAGAGAGACAGAAAGAGAGAAATTGCCCCCCAGGGGGATGGCCATACTGTAATCCCTTCTCTTCCATTCTCCTCTTGGGATTTTGGGTATGCATACACATGTGCCTGGCATGAGTTTCAAGCCTCCAGTTCTGGGACTTGAACCATGGTTGACTATGTGGGAGCCCAGCCACATAGCCATGACACCATCTGCTGGTCCCAGATAGGTACTTTTGACAGGGTCTACCATGCCACAATCCTTCACCCAGCTTCCTAGTTAGCTAGGACCACAGATAACACATGTTTGGATTGGTCCAGAGCCCTACTGCTTGTACCCCCACATGCAGTATTAAGAAATAGTACAGGACCAGCCTGTGGCCTGATGGTTAAGGCAGCTGGATCCTATACGACCAATGCGTTGTTCAAGTCCTGGACCTAGTGGTTTGAAAAACTCACCAGGTGTGTGTCGTGCATGCCCAAATCCCAAAAGAAGGGATGAGAAGGGACTGTAGCATGACCATTCCCCATGGGTACTTTCTTGCCTTTTCTCTGCCACATTTAAATGCCCTCTTAAAAATGAAAAAATATTAATAATACAAAGAGATTTTGTGTATTTTTATTATAATTCTGACATCACGTTTCAGACACAGTGCAGTTCCATCGTGGTGGGCATCCCTCCTGTGGCACATTAGTAACCACACCTGCCACCACCACCACCACCACCCCCGGCCCCTTCACATCCTGGAGCCCTGGTGGTCACTAATCTCTTCTTAATCTCTGTAATTCTGAGATTAAGGCTATTTATTGAGCCCTTTTGGGTGCTAGGTGCTGCATTCAGCATTTTTCCATACTCCTGCTGCCGTTGAATTCCTAGAGTCCACGGGGCAGCTGTTAGAACATCTATTTCACAGATGTGGAAATGAGGCCCAAGTAGGTAAAGGAACTTGTGTAAGTCACACAGCTGGGAGGTGACAGGCAGGATTTGTCCCCAGGCCTGTCGGGCCCTAGACTCCTCACTCCTGAGCCAAGGGGAAGGCCAACTGGAGGTCCATCTGTTATCTAGGGATTACACGGGCACTAGTAGGTGAACAAATTAAGGACAAGCTGTCCATCCTCCTCCAGATGTCTCTGCACATCTGCTGCGTGCTGGGCCTCGCCGTGCTCTGATGAGGGGAAGAGACCAGACCAGCCTTATTCTGGGGTCGCTCTCGCCCGCTCAACCACACCACATTCTCATGCCTCAGTGCTTCGCTCCGACGTTTTCTGTGTCTGCACAATTTGTACAGAATATCATAATATAATGTCTCGTGTTTTCTTTTCCAACTAGTCACATAATCATGATATGTTTCTGTAGCTAAATAAGGTCTGTCGTGGTGACCTCACATGTTTGGCCACATGCATGACCATGATTCGCTCAGTTGTGAAATGTTTAACCTCTCTTCATCTTTTGCCATCAAACTCTTGGGAATCAGCATGACATGGAGATGGAACACAGGACTCCCAGCAAGCCTGGCTTCCAATCTCCGAGTTGCCGAAGAGAAGAACCTTCCTTAACTTCTCTTCGCTTCTATTTGCCCACAGCACATGAAGCAGTAGCGGTACTACCGTCGCCCCCATGGTAGTAGCGTATGACTGGTAATGCAGCCAGGCGCTGCTGTGGGACTAGATGCGATAAGGCACTGTGTCCCCGGTCCAGTCCCTGTTCAGAAATACCCAGACGGAGGATATGCTGCAATGAATTTGTGTGCATGCAGAGGTGCCTTTCCTTCCTGGGCAAATTGCCTTAAAATAAAATGCCAGGAATTGAATTTCTAAGTTACTGGACATTTTATGGCTTTCAAAATATATCGTGAATTTGCTTCCCAAAAAGGAAATGTGCTTCTCCCCACAACGCAGGAGCCCACCGATGTCACCCAGCTATTAGCAGCACGTTCTTGTCATCGGCGTGTCTTGTCAGCATGTTGGACAGAAGACGCTGCAGCCTTGGCGTGGGGACTGTCATTTATTTAGGAACGACGGACACTGAGCTACTTCCTCCTGTGTGTTTCTGGGCCTGCGGGGTGCTCATGTTCTGCTGAAAGATTTCATGACATTTGGAATAATATGCTAAAGTAGTTCACCTAGCTTGTTCCTGACCTGTTTTTCTTTAAGTTTTCACCATGCTTTGGTGACATGCCTCAGAGAAGGTGTGCTCCAGTCACTTGGCCTTCAGTGAGGGAAGTTTCTCCAGGTTCTACCCAGTGTGGGCTCTAGGATGAAGACTCTGGCAACCTCTCGGTGTTTCCTGAGCACTCACCATGTGCAGGCACTATGGAAGGGGCCGTGCGTCTCTATCTCATGCAATCTCTGTAAATTTATTAGGCGCTAGAGAGCTATGATTCCTTGCCAGAGTCCCTCGAGAAAGGAGCTGTGGACTAGACAGCCTAGATGTAATTTCCACTCCAGGTTTTCTATACCTTGGGAAGTATCGTGCACCTGTACCACATATTACAAGAACAGCCTTAGCGAGGTCTGGGGAGAATCCCTACAACCAAACACATGAACATTCCTACAGCAGAGTGAGTGTGTGTTTCCAGAAAGAGGCATAAATAATGATTATGAATTGCTTCGATTTCAAACCTGTTTTTGCTGACCTGATTTTATTTTGTTTAGGTTTTTGCCATAGGCACATGTGTTCCATAGAGACAGAGAGAGGGAAAGTGAGAAATCGCCCCCTGGGGGATGGCCACACCGTAAGCCCTTTTCCTCCCTTCTCCTCTTGGGATTTTGGGCATGCATGTATTGTGATTCTCAAGCTGCTGATCTAGGACTCAAATTGTAGTTGGCCAAGTGGAAGTCCAGCACCTTAACCACCATGCCACCTGTTGGCCCCTGATTTAACTGGTTAAGAGCTTTGTGCCTCCACCAGCTTTATGACTTGGGGAGACTCATCTGTCAAGGTCCCTACTCCTGTGTGATGCAGCCAGGGTCCCCAGCTGGTTACTACCAGGCCCTGAGCTGACCAGACCAGTTGGTGAATTGTGTCCTGCCCCACCTCGCGGGGACCAAGGAGCTCTGGAAGACGGGACTTGAATACCAGGTTGAGCCAAAACTCAGCTGGCTCCATCCAGCCCAGGGTGGGTCTGCAACCCACCTTCTTCTCTATGGACAAGGTGATCTCATGGCCCACTCAGAGCCACCTTCATGAAGGTCCCCATACCAGTGCCCTTGTGGCCCCTGCTCTCAGGGCACTTCCTGGTCCTCACCTTGCTCGGCTGCCTTGGGTGGGTGCTCGTGTCAGTACCAACCCATTTTGGGGTCAATGAAGGGTGCTCGGTCACCACCTCTGGTCCTTTCTCCAGAGGCTGTGAGCTAGACAGCCACCTCTAAATTACGCTGACGCCAGCGTGTGGCAACTCAGGCTGGAGTCCTTCCTCTCCATGGTATCTCTCTGGCTTCCTTGGCCGGTCTATGTCTCATCTCAGTGTGCTGGCCCGGTGTGCACTTGTGATGCACGCATGTGGTCTGTGTGTGGGGGGGACGGATGTGTGTGACGTGTGGTGATCTGTGCTTGTGATGGTGCACGCGATGCGTGTGTGTGTGGTGGGGATGCACAGTGCTAGTCACTAGCGTGGGAGGGTGGGTGGCAGGGGGTCAGGAGCTGGGCAAATCCCGGGGCTTCCAGGACGGTCACCAGCACGCATCTCCTCTTGGTCCTAGGTCCCACCAATGCTCTCTTCTGACCCCCTCAGACGGCCGCCTTCGCCTGCCTCTCAACACTGAGTCCACCACTCAGGAAAGACTGCCATTTCTCTGTTGCCTTTGGCATCGCCACCGTCAGGGACGAGGTGGGCAACATGAGGTGAGCCTGTGACCTGAGAGAACATGGACAGGGCCTCCCGATGAGAGCGAAGAGCTACCTTGTCCAGTACTGCTGGCTAGAGCGTGTCTGGGCCCTGCGTGCCTGGCCATCTCCCCATCGGCCACATTCCTCAGCCATGGGCTGCCCTGGCTGCAGGTCATCCTGCAGGGCAGAGGCCAGAGGCAGGAGGGGCTGGGGCTTGCCAAGTGCGAACAGCCAGTCCCTGCTGGGACGTGACGATTCAGTCAGCTCCTGGGTGCCGATTTGATATCCAAGAATGCGATTTGACACCTCCACTGAACATCAAATCAGAGAAGGTGGTGGATTCCAGGGGAGCAGAATAACAGGGATAACAATGTAACAATAACCGCCAGATGCACACCGGGGAAGATTTATTGAGTGCTGAGGCACCAGGCACTGAGCTAAGCAGGTTAATCTCAGGCAGCACTGAGAGGGGAGGACTATCCCCACCCCCATTACCTACATGAGGAAACTGAGGCGAAGGAGCTCCGTGACTTGCCCACAGCTCCAGGCAGGTAAGCGGCAGAGCTGGGTCAGCGCGTGCCCCACTGACCGCGGGCTTGAACTCTTAGTGCCATGCCCGGTGGCTGAGCTGCCCGACACTCTGGGGCTCCACCTGTCATCCTGGTATGTCATCCAGGTCAGAGCTTCTGGGTGGTCCCCAGAGTCGGAACCTGTACCCATTAGGGCGGGACTGTGGCGCTTCTAGGGGTAGCGGCTCTCGACACTGGGAGCTGAGGGCTTCCAGGAAGAGTTTTCTGAAGGAGGAGGACAGGGCACTGTAGAGGACAGGGGTCACCGCAGAGCTGACGTAGAAAAGCGTGTTGGTCACCATGTAGAAGTAGTGGTAGAAATCGTAGAGCGTGCTGGAAGAGAACCCGGCCACCTGGTCAGAGCGCCTGTGTCTTCCTGGCTGTGCCCACCCCTTCCTGCTGCAGAGCCCTGTCCTCCGGGGGTGGGCAAGGAGGGCCCCTGGTCTGCTGTCAGGAGGCAGTGGTTCCACGAGTGCCAGCTCCCCTGGGCCGATGTGCCCCACCCACCTCTCGGTTCACTGTCTCGGTCACCCACACGGTGAGGGTGACATGTGTGATGGATGTAGCTGTCTGCCCAGCTGGCTGGGATGCTGGGAGCCTGGACTGTGGGCGGTCAGGGACGTATGGCTTCACTAAGAGGTGGACGCCATTCTGAGAAGCCACACTCCTGTCACAGAGACCCCCTGCGGTGGGAAGGGCTTGGCATGTGCATGCGTGTGCACACGTGTGTGTAAGAACTGCTGCTGGCCCTCGAGAAGGAGGCACCTGTTGGCAACCACAGTCTCCCGGGTGCCTGACTCCCACTGAGGACCAGGGCAGAGGGAGCTCCAGGAGGAAGATGCTGAGCCTGCTCCTCCTCCTGGCCGGGTCGTGAAGCGAGTGCCTGCTGTGGTCTCTGTCTAAGGGCTTTATCAGCGAGTCTTCCCTCCTCTTGCCCCGTAACAACGTGGCTTCCAACCCCTTCCTGGCCTGTGAGCTTCACTCTGTCCTATAGTCAGGAAGCCCACAGCTCCTCTTCTTCTTTTTTTAAGAGAGATTTTTGCTATGGGGTGCCTGCGATCACCAGAGAGACAGAAAGTGAGAAATCACCCCCCTGGGAACGTGGCCACACTGCAATCCCTTCTCCTCCATCCTCCTCTCAGGATTTTGGGCATGCATGCACACGTGCCCAGTGTGTTTCAAGCTGCTGGGTCTGGGACTTGAACTGTGGTCAGCCATGTGGGAGTCTAGCAACATAATCATTACATCATCTGCTGGTCCCAGGAAGCCTACAGTTTTGGCTGCACTCAGAGACCTCTCACATGGCCTCCCCAGGCCTGACAGGTTTCTAAATAATGCTCTGTTACCAGTCGAGAGAGCGTGGGGCAGACTGGAGTAGGGCCAGCTAGAATGCAAGCCAGAGCTCTGGGGGATCCAGAGACCAAGGGTGCTTCTGGGGAGCAACGGAGACCCCAGGCCAGCCCAGCCCAGACCCCCACGTGTACTTCACTTACTTGGTCCACCTGTCCTCGGAGACGTAGCAGAACATGAGCCTGCGGACGTGGTACGGCAGCCAGCAGAGGACATACACAGCCACGATGGCTCCTGCAGGCAGCCGAGAGACAGCGACACACAGAAAGCAAACATGGCCTGTTATGCCGCCTCTGAGGGTGACAACATCACCTCCCCATAAACTTGTTCCTGGAGTCAAGGGTTGGGGGAGCTTCCGGTTATCTGATACATCCCTATCTGCATCTGTTCTCAAACCTTGCATTACCCTGTCCCCGCTTCAACCATGACCTACCACAGATGCTCCCAGAACTTCTTCTCAGCCACTGGCATATCCTCCCATGCAGGATGGGATGTTCTCACCTGGTCATGTGACCACATGTCCAACAGAATTAAATGTCTTGTCTGCCTTACGAAGCCACTCCCTTCGTTTTCTGATTGATTGATGGCACGAGACCATGACACTGACGAGAGCAGAGACCTAGTTTCTTGCTCAAGCCTCTCGGACCTCAGCTGGGTTAGGGCAGGTGTTTGCAGTGACCTCTGCGTTCCTCTGTCTCTTACAAGGTCACATCTGCCCCTTACTTACGAAAGCGAGAAAACAGGTCCAAGTTGTATGTAGCTGGGAAGGGAGAGAGTTGCAAGGATCCTGGATTTGGGACCTGGCCTGTCTGAGAGCCCACCTTTCCCATCCACAGCCTTTAGCTGCTCCTGGTATTGCTCCACCTGACCGGCATCCTGAAAAGTAGCCAGGTCTCCGTTGAGTGGGCCTCTCCCTGGAGCGGGTCAAAGGTTGTACCCAGAATTCCCATTCTTTCCTATGATGACTCCACTCAACTGTACAGGATGCCCCTGGGGCACAGGGAAAGGGGGCCTAGAGAGAGGTCGTAACTTGCTAAGGGCACTTGGCCAGGAGTCGGAGGGGCAGCCCTGGCCCGGGGCCGTTCGTCTGGGGACGCGGGACAGAGGACGTAACTCAGAACCTGGATGCTGCTCTGGAGGCTGCGGATCCGGCTCGCATCCTTGTGTCTCACCAGACTGGCCTGGCCTCCTAGGGAGAGGGTCTTCCTCCTTGCAATGAAGCTGAGCAGACCCTCCTCGCTCAGTAGCTCCAGATGGCTGGTAGCGAAGCTGCCTGGGGCAGAAGCTGTGGGCACCTGGGAGCAGAGGGCCGCCAGATGGCTCACGGTGACACTGGTCAGGAAGGCGGTTAGTGCCAAGGGGAGCACGAAGGATACCAGCACATTCACCTGCAGAGGTAATTCCCGTGGTGTGGTGGCACGCCATGGGCCTGTGACTCTGGGCCCAGGCTGTGCCCCAGGCCTGGAGTGCACCAGGAAGGGGCAGTGGGAGGGTTACAGGAAAAGGCTGAGAAAATTCTCAGAGAGTAGGGAGATAGCCATGAAAGTAGGAGAGAAGAGGTGAGAAAACTTAGGATTAGTTTAGGATGTTTATTATTTAAATAATAATGGTTCCAGAAAGAAAAGGAATAACAAAAACAGGAGGGAGAAAAATCATATGACAAAAAAAGAGAAATTCAAGAAATTTTTCCCAAAACAGAGGGAGCCGAGCTGCTAGATCAAATGGGTGCCCAGAACAATGGGTGGAAATTAACCCATAGTGAGACACTTTCTTAGGAGAAAGAGAAGCTCTTGAAAGCATTCAAAGGATAAAACACCTCACAGAAAGAGGTTGGAGAGCCAGAATGACATTGACCTCTTTAAAGCAATAGTGGGCCCTAGAAAATAATGAGCAAGGGGCTGGCAAGTGGCGTAGTGGTTAAGGGCACTGGGCTCCCACAAGGCTGACCATGGTTTGAGTCCCAGACTTGGTGGCTTGCTTTTTCACTCCCCCCCCTCACTCTCCCTCTCTGGTTGAATTAAAGTAAATAAATAAAGTTAAATAAAAAATTTCTTTAAAAAAAAAGAAAAGAATGAGCAATACTTTACAATTTCTAGGAAAAAATAGTTTCCACCTTTCATTTTATACCCAGAAATATTATGACAAATGTAAGGATAAATCAAACAATTTCTGATGTGCAAATTCTTATTCTACTTCCTGTGGCCATTTTCTCCAGCCTCAGGAGGTGACAAGAACATATCATATCTTCTATCAAAATAAAGGTTTTTTAAAAAAACTTTATTTATTCATTCATTGATTTTCATTTGACCAGAGAAAGACAGACACACAGAGAGAAGGAAAGAGGGAAAGCAAGCCACCAGGTCTGGGACTCAAACTGTGATCGGCCATGTGGGAGTGTCCAGCGCCTTAATCACCATGCCACCTGCTGGCCCTCAAAATAAAGTTTTAAATCAACAATGAAAAAGACCTGGCATCCCCAAACAGGCCTGCAACAAAGAAGCACCCCTAACAGGGCATGGTCACGCCACTACCCCTTGTCCTCCATTTCTCCATCCTGTCGGGATTTGGGGCACTTGCATATGCCCGGCATGTTTTTTAAGCCACTAGGGCTGGGATTCAAGCCATGGTCAGCCATGTCGGATTCAGCTCCTCTAACCGCTAGGCTACAGGGCCAGCCCATTGTGCTGTACCTTTGAAAGGAATTATTATTCATGCTTTTTTCATCTTCATGCACAACTCCAGGGAACAATAAAACACTGTACATGACCTTCATTTTAGCCTGTTTACAGAATCAAACAGTCTATATCAAGGACAACCTGCCTAACTAGTATCAAATTGTAGTTTTAAAGATAGAGATTGAGGGAACCAGCAGTTAGCGTAATGGCTATGTCACTGGACTCCCACGTAGTCGACCGTGGTTCACGTCCTGGACCCGGTGGCTTAAAACTCATGCCGGGTGCATGTGCATGCGTGCCCAAGATCCCAAGAGGAGAATGGAGAAGGGATTGCGGCGTGACCATCCCCCCGGGGGGTGATTTCTGGCTTTCTGTCTCTCTGTCTCTGTCTGTCTGGCAAGCGCACACGCCTTATAGCTGGGGAAAAAAAAGATAGAGATTGAAAGTAAAATATACAGTCATAAATGTGTAATTAGTCTTGGGAAGTTCTGAAATCTTTCTGGGGAAACTCAGGCAGTCCACCTGTTCCAGGCAGTGAGAGGGTGGAGTGGAATGGAGCCTTCCTCCTCCAGGGCTGAGCCTGGGCGCCTGGGAGTGGGAGTACCCTTTAGGTGTCCTAGAGGGCTGGCAGGGGCTAGGAGCGCTCTTCTCCACCCCCATGCAGTGGACACCTAGGATCGGGGTCCTCCAGGCAATGACCCGAGCAAGCGCAGAGCGTGTTAGCTTGTAGAGCCACAGGGACCAGCAAACACTCACCAAGGTGTAGCTCAGCCTCAGAAACATCGGCATGTTCCCCAAGTTTATTCAGGGAAGCCGGAGGAGCTGGGGGAGTGAAAGCAAGCTTGAGGGAGGAGGTGAGGCTGCAGTTGCCCTCTGGGAATAGGGCGTGGGGAGGGAATGAGCAGGAGCAAGAGCTGCTGCCAGAAAAGCCAGGTGTCAGGCCATGGGCAGAGAGGAGCCAGTGGCATGGGGAGGCAAGGCTGGGGGAGACAGGGAGGGTGGCAGGACGGAGGTCAGAGCCTGGTCAGGCCCCAGAAGAGAGGCCCAGAGTCCTCCCACCCTAGCTACAGGCAGCTCTGCTCCAGGGCCATCTGGAGGTGGGGGCTTCTTCACATAGGACTTCAGACCTACTGAAAGCAAACCCAGGGACCATGAAATCAGCATGTCCACAGACTTGCCAGGCAAGACCATTCCCAGGAACGCTTGACCACCTCTCTTAAAAGAATAGGAAGAATACAAGCTTTCAGAGTTAATTTTCAATTCAAATCTGGACTTTACCCAATGCCTTACTTTGGCCAAGTCTCTCCAAGTCCTCTGGAGAATGAGGTCATCAGACTGGACTTTCTGGGTGACCCCTAGTGTAGTAGTTGGAAATGTCAGTTCCCAGGGTCGGGGCGGAAGGGAACCCACCTCCCAGCCTCCCTCCCTTACCTGGATGAAGACTTGCAGTGTCACGCGACTCGCTAGCACGGTGCACACGCGCGAGGCGGGCTCCGGATCCCCGCCCGCCGTCTCCAGCTCGTACTTCTGCCCCATGATGACCGCCATGGGCAGGGCGAGGCCGAATGAGACCGCCCAGACGAGCGACAGCAGGCGCCGGGTCCGGCGCGGCGTAAGCAGGCGGCGGGCACGCAAAGGCTGGCACACCGCCAGGCAGCGCTCGGCGCTCAGGCTGGCCACGCTGAGCACCGTGGCGTAGGCGCACAGCTCGCGCACGAAGTAGTAGCCGCGGCAGCCCAGGTCGCCGAACACCCAGGGGTAGTGGAACCACACGAAGTTGTAGAGCTCCATGGGCACGCTGACCAGCAGCAGCAGCAGGGCGGCCAGCGCCAGGCTGAGCACGTGGTAGCGCAGGCGCCCGGGGCGGCCGGCCCGCGCCTTCAGCACCACGTGCACGGACAGCGCATTGCCCGCCACGCCCAGCGCGCAGATGAGCGCGTAGAGCGCGGTGAACAGCACCTTGGCCCAGAGGCGCGTGTCCACGCCCAGCCGGGCGTCCAGGCTCGACCCCAGGCCCGGGCTGGGCCTCGGGGGCCGCGGGCTGCCCGGCTCCATCCCGCTCCGCGCTCTCACTGCCCGGAGACCGGGCGAACTGCCCGGGTAGCCAGCACCTCCTCCTCTCTCAGAAGCTCAGGGACTGGAAGGACACGCCCCCGAAGGGTGTCCTAAGGGCCGGTCAGGCGCGAGTGCTCGCCTGCTAGCGGCGTTCACATTCCTGGCTCGGTTCAATTCAGGGAAGCAAGCGGTGGGAAGAGGGCGCTTCTGGGAGCTGATAATCACGCATTGACCGGACTCCACCACTTACAGCAGCGCGAGCTTGGAAAGGCTTTCGACCTCTCTGAACCCATTTCGGCAACTTTAAAATACTATCGGCACTGCCGAATTTCTGTGGCTATTCAGTGAGCGATTGTGTGCGGACGTTCCTGAGCTGCAGCAGACACAGGTGAGGGCTTTTGTCACGACGTGGCGGCCATTTGTGCGTTTGGTCCAGGAACAGCCTGAGGTAGAACTTGCCAGCACTTGGACCTTTGGAAGACGGTAGGTTCTTGCTAGAGGGTTTCAAAGCTGCGCTGATATCTCAAGGAATCCCACGTCACTGGCAGACGCATCCTGGGGTGTCGTGCCTTCCCAGTCCTTTCAGAGAGTCCTTCTCATGGAGCAGTGGGAGGAAGTGAACGGAGCAGTGTTTAGCAGGTTTCCAGCCCTTCCCTAGTCTCTTTTCTTTTTTTCTTTTTATTTATTTTTGTTTTATTATTAGCTCACGTAGAACAGCAGAAGGGTAGAGCCAGAGCCTGCAGGCCCTCTCGCCTCACCCAGAACCTCTGGGAGCAGAGTTGGAGCCAGAAGTTGGCTATCCGGATTTTCTTTTTCTCTTCAGCAAAGTTGTTATGGCCCAGTAATTATTAATTTAGTCTTCTATCTGGATAGATAATCAAACCTACATTCAACTAAGATTTCATGTGTTTATTTTTGCTCTGCTTCTATACAGAAAGGGTTCTGAGACTGGGGAAATAATTGAGAACAACAATGCAGTAACTTTATTTTTTTATGTAAATAATTATTTATTTAATTAAGGCGTTGTTGAGTCAGACTTGCGGCGGTCTATTTCTCATCTGGGAGAAGCACGCTGGGAAAGGGACCACTTACAACCATCTCCTTACATGGTACATTCTAAGCTGAATGAAACAAAATTGTCTTCCTGCAGTGTGTTTGTACTTCCTCACTCTTTTCACTCATCCTTCAAATCTATTTTTTTTCCTCAAATCTTCCCCTCTAAGCTCTCCTTGAAAACCCATTTTACTTGTGTTTGCACTTTTTAGGATACTTACCATTGTAAGTATTTTATTTTAGATAGTTCTTATTTCCCCTTGTTAAATTGTAAAACCCTCAGAAAAAAAAATTGTACATCATTCATTCACACATTTGCTTTTCATCTGATATGGAGTTTGCCACATACTTTATTCAACAGTCTCAACCAACTTAATTTAATTTAATCTTTATACTAAAGAAAATATATGAACTTTCCTAGATACACAGAGGAAAGTGTAAAAAGTATTTGATCATTATTATACATTGAAATTCACCTGATTTTTACTTCTGGCTGATATTATAATATATCAAAAATGATACTAAAACAATCTGAGCAGGCTTAAATAATAATATATTGAAAATGTAGACATCTTTTTGTATCTAACAAATAATATTTTCTTTTTCAATGTGAAAGGGAAGTATTGGCAAAAGGAATATTAATAAATGTTTTCTGATGATAGGTATAAATAATGCAAGTTTCACTGAAATCAGTTGGGATTCTCAATATTATGTTTCTAATTTGTTAAATAAAAGCTCCATAAATTCAATAGCAAATGTCTTCCAGAGGGCCCTGGACTTTTGTAGGATGCTATGGCTTGAATGTTGTGTCCCTTTCAAAATTTATGTTGAAACTTAATCCCCAGTGGAGTAGTATTAAGGAGCAGGGTCCTTTGGAGGTAATTAAACCATGGGTAATTAAAGGATTAAGAGAGTGAGATTAGTCTTTATTAATCCGTGTGAGGACACAGCAATAAGAACGAACATGGGAGAAGAAAACTACCTCACCAAACCCTGAGCCTGCTGGTGCCTTTCTCTTGGCCTTCCAGCTTCCAGACTGTAAGAGGTAAAGGTCTTTTTTTATTATTTTCATTTTTATAAATTGACAAAAGAATGTGTGCTCACCAGAGAGAGAGAGAGAGAGAGAGAGAAAGCTGCCAGGTCCAGGACTTGAACCATTGTCAGCCATGTGGGAATCCAGCACATTAACCACCATGCCACCTACTGTCCGCAGATATTTCTATTCTTTCACATGGAAGTCTCAGCATATGACCTGAAATTTGAGACAAAGGGAAACATAACTGCCACCAGCACCACTGGCAGCCGTGCTGTCCCACCTCCACCCTGTGTCCCACCTAGCAGCTGCTCAGACGAGGGCGAGCCCGGGTGCAGAGGGCCAGCAGAGGGGCCGGGAAAACATACAATGTCATGGGTTGGGAAGTTATTTCAGAACTCAGGCACAGCCCATTGGTCTAGTGGTTCAGAACGCTGGATCCCACATGGCTTGACCATGTGATTCGAATCCTGGCCCTGGAAGCTTGAAAACCATTCCCCGGGTCAGCCAGTGACGAGGTAGTTAAGGTGGTTGGATCCAACCTGACTGACCACGCATTTGGGGTCCTGAATCTGGTGACTTGAAAAACATGCCAGGCGTGTGTGCCTGCATGCCTAAAATCCTAAGAGGAGGATGGAGGAGGAGAAATTGTGGTGTGGTCAATTCCCTGGGAAGTGCTTTCTCACTTTCTGTCTCTCTCTTCCTATAGTAAAATTTTTCAAAAATAAAAGAGACAAGAAGAGGGGGAAAAAAAAAAGCCCCAAATCCCCACAGGATGGAGAAATGGAACTGATGGGATTGCAGTGTGACCACTCCCATTGGGAGGGAGGTTGCTTTCTCCCTCTCCCTCTTTCCCTCTGACACAACTTTTTCAACATCATTAGAATTCACTGTCAAGTATCTTTGCTGTCTGTGTCCTTTTTTCTGTTTACATGAGCAATACAGTATATTGCGTTTCTCCTTTTGCTCTCACGTCAGCACTGCCAAGCCAAACCTGCGAATTCCTTCCGGTACCCTAAGGAGAACACGCTTTTTCTTCTTTCACATGCATCAGTCATTTCTGCTACATGTGAAGGACAAGGATAGTCTCAAGGCAAATCTCTTGTTCATTTGCTTGAGTTACAAGATAAACTCATTGCTCTTTTCTTGCTTTTTCTTTTTATATCGTTTTTGCACGAAAGCATGCCTGACAAACTATAATCATTCAGACCTGGGGACTTGGCAGATATTTTTCTCAGAAGTGAATGAATTAAACCTGGCACTCAGAGAACACAGCTGAAGGTATTTGGGGGAAGTCTATGCATAACCTCTGTGCTTTCTGGAAGAAATGAGAATTTGGGACCGTTGTATCAGTCACCATAAATCTGACAGTTTTGCAACATGCAAACATTGCCCTAATGATGTTGGTAGTGATATTAAAGAATGTGAATTTTGTACAATAGATGAGGACATACCCATGGTTGGCAGATCCATGTAACTCAGTGAGCCAGGATTTTACAAGTAACCAAGACGCAATGTTACAAAATTGTGTATGAGTAAAAGATCCATTCAAAAGGGAAAATGAACCAATGATTATTAATGTACCTGATGATGAAAAATTCATTGATATAGTTTTAGTTTCTACCTTTAAGAAATTACTACTTTTTGGGGCCAGCAGGTGGCATAGTGGCTAGGGCACTGGACTTCCATGTGTCTGAATGCATGTAGTTCAAGCCCCGGACCTGACGGCCTGAAAACCATGCTGAGTATTTGTGCATGTGTGCCCAGAATTCCTAAAGGAGAATGGAGGAGAAGGGATTGTAGCATGGCCATCACCCTCTGGGGAATGATTTCTCACTTTCCCTTTCTGTGTCTCCCTGTTATGGCAAAAATCTAAAAGAAAAGAAATGACTACTTTTCAAATTTGGTGTAATGTCAAGTAAGAATGTACACAATTATCTAACAGAATATTCTCTTCAGATTACATATGTGTGTGAAATGGGATTGCCATCATATATGTCAATGACAGCATCATATCAAAGCAGACTGAAAACAGAGGCAGATGAGAATCAACTGTCTTCACTTAAGCCAGCTAGATATTAAATAAATCAGCAACAATGTGACAATGCAAACCATGCTTTTTTTTAAACTTGGAAAGATGATTATTTTTTAATGAAAATGTTTTATGTTGATAGATTTCTTATCATTTTAAATAATTGAAAACTTACATATTTTAAATTTCTTAGTTTTAAGTTTCAAGAGTATAACATTTTTATCCCAGGACTCACTTATCATTCATATGCTTATAAATTAATTTTAAAGTCTATTTATTTAGCTCTTCCTTGAGCAAGAGTTACAGAGAGAGAGAGAGTGAGAGAGAGATGCAGCCCCAGCAGGGTCTTCATGCCACCATCCACCCCCAGCTTTGTCCAGTCCCCGATCATGGGCATCCATACACCTGCCATGTTTAGGGTAGTCAATGGATGTGAACATGGAACCTGCCCGAGTGGGTCAGCCCTGCAGAGCATCACATTAATGCTGGACCACCATCAGGCCTCACTCTTAGAAGTGATTGAGGCCCCCTGGGTCAGCAGGTGGCATGGTGGTTAAGGGTGCTGGACTCCCACATAGTTGAGCTCAGTTTGAGTCATGGTACTGGCGGCTCTCTCTCTCTCTCTCTCTCTCTGCCCTCTCTGGTCAAATTAGAATAAACAAATAAATAAATGAAATAAAAGAATTCTGAAAAAAAAAAAGAAGTGATTGAGGCCCCGAAAGAACTTTTGTTTTTGTGGGCTATCTCTGTTAATATTTATAGCATTAGAAATAGAAATTGAGAACTAAAACTAAAACTTTTTAGGACTGTAGAATTAAATATAAGTTTCTACCAAATCCAAGAATTCCATATGTGTGAGTTTTAAATAAATTTTCTTTGAAACAA